AAAAATAACATTTTTCTCATTCGCATAGAATTTGTTTTGGTAACTTTTGATTTTGAAATTTTAGCAAAAGACAATAGTCAAACACAGGCCTAAAATTTCTACAGAGAAAGTACAAATTTGAGGTCGATTTTAAGCGGTCGTTATTCATATACCCACATACATACATAAATTACTCTTCATATCAGTTCAGGTCTATTAAATGCACCCACGCTTTTCATTTTCAATTTCATAAATTGCTTATAATGACTTTTGCTAAAATTTCAAAATCAAAAGTTATCAAAACAAATTCTATGGGACTGAGAAATATTATTTTCTAATTTTTAGTCCATTTATATAAAAAAGTTTTTTATTTTATTTATTTTCTACTCTTTAGGCTTGTCGGTATAAAACGTTGCAAGTTGATAAAAGCATTGTAAAACAACGAGTTTTTTGTAAATTTTTTCATTTTGTATGAAAGCCTGTTCCTTTATAAAAAAAAATAAACCTACCAATGAAGAAAATCGATGGATAAATAAGAAAGGAATGAGTGGTGAAATGAAAATGCACAAGCATTTTTTGAATGAAATATGAGCAGAAAAGAGTGTTACTCAAGTGTACAGGCGTATGAGTAGCATTCTTTATTGCTCATTTTTCTTAACAAAGATTTTTGTGCCTTATATTTGACCACTCATTCTCCTTCTTTATCTATCCATCGATTTTGCCCATTAGTAGCTTGATTTTTTTTGTAACAGAACAGGCCTTTGTGAGCTGCGATTTAAACCGAACGCAGAAGAATCCCTTCTGGCCGCTGCCTGGTGAATGGCAGTCAAAAGCTTTCCCCTTACGTGGACTTCTGCGCACGTGTAAATGAATATAGTTGTTGTCGTAGAAGCTCCCCAAACTACCATGGGCCTACCGTTAGTTGAGATTGATAGCAAGGATTGAAAGATAAACTGATCTAGGCAGGACTTAGTACCCAGTACAACAACAACCAAGCGCCAATATATCATTTTTTATGTATGCTGCTACAGCAACAACAGAAAACAATCCTTATCAATAAATCAATCAATAAATATTAATAAAAACTTTCAAATGGAATGTATTGATACACATTTGTTTTAAAATTTATTTTTATCCAATTAAGTATTAAAATTATTACAATTATAAATCCAGGTCAATAATTCAAAATATTGTACATCTTTAAGCATGTACAAAATTATTACATACACACATGTGACTAAATTCCAGGTAAAACCTGTGTATATACAAAATAAAAAATTACATTTATACGTTTTCAAAATAATAACTAAAATAATGAATTAAGAAGTGGGGGTGAGTTTATCCCAATTAATTTGAAAATGGATTGTATTACATACGGATGGATGGGATTCAAGGTGAATGATTTCAACTATATTTTTGTAGAATTTGCTAAATATAATTAAAACGCCTTGTTGTTTTATATAAACTAGCAATATTAAATTAAAACAAAAATAGAGTAATGTGTTAGCGAAAGATTGTAAAAAATATAATGTGACCTTTAAATAATGCCATTACATTTTTTAAGAGTTAAAATAAAATAAGATGAACAAAAGGTGTTAAGAAAAAACAGAACAAAAACAAATATAAATTATATTTGCCAAATATTTCTTTTAGTCACAATTCTTTGCAGTCACAAATGTAAATTTTCTTTTTTTTTTTTTTGAAGTTGCATGGTATGCAGTTAAGTTTGAAATAATGAAATTGAAAGTTGTAAGTAATTTACTTATGTAGTAGGTAGTCGATTAAATATAAAGCAATTGTTCCAAAAACCCATATTACTTACATTGCTGAATATCTGAATATAGGTAGATAGTGGAACGAAGTATTTCATGTATTTATTAGATAATCGAAATACTTTATTAGCAAGTATTTTTAATGATGTTTAAGCACTCTTAGCAAATAAATGTATTTAATTATCTTTTTGGCTCACATATTCCAAGCATCTTGAAATATTGGATAAGTGTTCTAAATAAAGGAATCATTTTTTACTTGCAATTTTAAGTTATCAGTGCGTTTGCATGCTTACACGCGAGACCGCACTAGAGCATCTCAAAAGCGGCTTTTTAACAAATGAAATCCTCACTTTATGACCACTAATTTAGTTCAAAATAAAATATTTAGGAATATGGTTTCGTAAAATGCCTATATATAGTATTGCAAAAAGCTAAGTTGTATCATTTGTCAAAATAGAGAACAACTCAACGTGTGCCATAATAAACTTACGATTTTTATAAATATTTAGTTACACATTTACATACATTAGTATATATGTATGTAGTACATACATATATCATGAGATGACAAAAAAACTCTCAACGCTCACATTATGAATGAGTTTTGCCTTCTGTAATGGCGAATGCATTTCTTCACGCCTTGACAAACAAAGGCTATCTCAGCTAAACGCCATACATTTTTGTGTGGATAAACAAGTACATGGCTTCTTTCCGGTATCCTTCTTTTAGAGAATTTACTGCCTCAATGAAAATACCTTAAGCCTCAAATAAACATACTCCTACATCGTGTTTAACGAAAGTTTCCTTGGAGATGTAATGCAATTTGCTAATCTGAATTAGTACAAAGTTATATATTAATGATTGCACGCTTTTAAGTTGCCATAAATGCTTTTACTTCTTTCCTTACGCAAAATTTTATAGAGCAATGACAATTTATGAAAATTACAATTTCGTTTTACATATCGACACTTCCAAACCATACCATACTAAGTCACCTTCGACTTAGCATAGTATGGTTTGGAGGTGTCGATATGTAGTCGAATATGTGTATTTTTTAGGGCACACCAAATAATTTGCATATCCATATGCAGTACGTAAACTGATTTTTAAATCTGATTAAAGCAACTAATTTTTGTTACATAGTTTTGTGGAGCCCTGCACTACTATTACCATATAAAGCGATGTTCATCATAATAACACTTTTAGATATAACTATTTGGAGAAAATAACTGGCAATGTGGCATTTGTTTCAAATGAAGCAAGTCACTTCGGCTCCAGTTTTAAGTAATTTTGACAAGTTTCGTCTAATTTATTTTATTACATAATCCGATTAATCATAGAAAATTGTGTGAACGAGAAATAGTAATAAAGATCCTAACTGACATCTACAATTTATGTAATGATAAATACTATTATGAAAATTCGACTTTAAAAATAATGAAGTTGAAAACTTGTATTATTTTTGCAATGGACTTTCATTACTACATATTTTGAGGGAGGGTATTGTTTTATGCACACACATACAAAGACATATAGCTCATTTACAAAAAACGGTCATATCGATTTACTCACGCCGGGAAATGAAAATGCGTATTCTCTTCACACGCGAAAAGTACACAAGATTTTGCAATTTATGCACAGTACCAAGCATGTTATAGCGAGTATTTTTGCTAACATATCGAGGGCTTATATTCAATACCCTCTATCTGCAATTTTCCCAAAAACTACTTTGTGATGTTAGAACCCATCTGGGACTTACCTGTTATCACTGATGTTAATTCAGACTTTACAATTTAATAATAAATTCTTCTGTCAAGCGTTATACAAGAGGAGCGCTCCTTATCTCCCAGAAATAGTCAGAAAAAGTCCGAAGTGGTCAGATTTAGTCCAAAAAGCGTTCCTTACTTAACTCGGAAACGACAGCAACAATGGGAGCGCAACACTTGGTGAGAGTGACTCTCATCAGTCCGAAGTAGTCAGAAGAATTTTTTCTGGCAAAATCCTGAAAAGTGTCAAACTCGACTGAATTTAAATTAACGGAAATTAAAGAATACGCAAAAAGTGAGAATAATCTAAAAAGAAAAAAAAGTGAATTGAAATTGGAAGGAGGCAAAAAATAATTGATATAGAAAGTGTTTATTGTGCTTGTGCTTGTGTGAAGGTGTTTTGTACATACATTTACATTCTTATTAGATTTGTTGTTGCCGTTCTTTGGACTAAAAATTTGGTTTTTTGCGTTCCTTTACTTTTCCGGTTATTCTCTTTTAGTGAGCGCATTTTGCTTACGCTCTGACATTTTGACACTTTTCAGATTTTAGTCCAAAAACATAAGGTCAGCATTAACATCACCGATGACAGTTAAGTCTTAGGTGCATGTTCATATCAGAATCTCATTTTTGTGAAAAGTTCAGATAGAGGGTATTGAATATAAGTCCTCCATATGCTAAAACAATCCGTTTTACGAGTTGGGGCAGTATATTAGTAAAGTAGCTATATGTACTTACATATCTAATAGCGTTTTCTTTTCTCGAAATAATTTTGCATTTATCCTGCCCTGCGCCAGGGCTGTCAAGTTTTCGTGTTCTTTTCTCAGTATGTTCACATGTTTATTGTGTGCTCTTTCTTTAAAATGTTGCACTCTGATAATGTTGCCATATACGAAAGTGACATTTTTCAAGAAAAGAAAACGCCATAAGAGTATTCGCACATTTTGATATGGAATGTGAAAATGACTTGCTCCATTTTATAAACCAAGGAATGAAACCGAAACCCAAACTGAAACCGTAACCGTTTAAAACCGTTTCGTTTTTCAAACCCGAAACCGAAACCATTTCAATCACAGGTTTCAATCAATTTCCAGAAATTTACAAAAATAATAAATAAAAATTTCTTTGAAATAAATGATTTATTTAACCAAAATCAGCATCATTTTGCTAAAATTCTTGTTAAGTAGTAAATAAGTATGGCAAGGTAACTTTTCGCAAAAATCTGCTGATGACTTTGTTGTTGTGAATCGATAATCGATTAATTATATTTAAGTAGTTTCTTTCCCGTACGCAATGCGAGATCCCGCGTGTGCCCAAAATAGCCCAGAAATCATGCCTGTACTCAACAAAATAGGTAATAGAGAGCGAAAATTCGAGCGTATTCGATCGTAAGTGTATTCTTCTTCCTGCCCGAAACAGCCCGAAATTTT